GAAAAGGAGTACTTATGGCACCTTAGAGACTAACCAATTTATTTGAGCATGAGCTTTCGTGAGCTACAGCTCACTTCATCGGATGCATACCGTGGAAGACGGTGGAAGACGGTGGAAGACGGTATGCATCCGATAAAGTGAGCTGTAGCTCACGAAAGCTCATGCTCAAATAAATTGGTTAGTCTCTAAGGTGCCACAAGTACTCCTTTTCTTTTTATAAAAAATAAATATACTCATAAAGTGAAAAAAGTCATAAGCACCAGCTCTGTCACAGAAAACAGACGTAAAGTAAGCTAATTGGTTGGAAGGAAATACACTGCATTTTTGTGTGTGAACTTTATCATCCATTATGAAAGAGAAGTTATTTGCCTGTTTGAGTTTTGTCTGTTTCACATAGTTCAGACAGCAAAAGCATTTAACATTAAAGAATTCATTATTAACCCCATGACATTCAAATCATGTCAATGGATACAGCCCAGCTGTCAAAGATATTAAGAGTATATTCAGTTGTGAGTCTGGACCAGAATCACAACATATCCAAGAAAGGGCGACACATTCTGATGCAATGAAATGAATTATTCTGTCATTCACCAGGACTGTATAGATGTAACACAGCAAAGAATAAACTCTTCTCTCTGTGTAAGTTCTTCATGATTTAACGTCAGAGTTAGATATGGTGTGGTAAACCCTGTGGCTACTGGATGGGATGAGGATGAAGATGATGGATTTGATAAACATTTCCCATAAAAGGTTTTGCCCTCCCAGGCCCCTCTCAGGCAGCAGCAAAATTTTGGAGAAGTGGCATCATCTCTGGTAAGTAAGCATTATATATGTAACCATTAGGACAAGTTAGTAGAGCTGTCCTTCGTAATTTGTTCAAACATCTGGTTACAACTGTTAAATAGGTTTAGGAGGAACATGTGGTCCTCATTTAAAACACTGCAAACACTATCATGATGCAGACTGTGAAAGTTTAAGAAAGACGACTACTGTTTTGATTATACTCTCAGACAGAAAATAAAAGAGAACTACATGCTAAATGATGTAAAGCTGTGAGAATTCCAGGCTCCTTTAATAGGCTTCTCCGCTGCAGATAAAGCAGCAATGTTTTCGTTACAGAACAAGCCAATTACCAAGGAAAGGCACCGGTTTCATTGTTTTCTGTGTCCCATGTGAAGTTATAACAAAAAAGGAAGAAGAAGAAGAGGAACAAGAAGAAGCAGCAGCAAAAATACCTGGAAAATGCAGTTAAAATGAACAAGGTTTTCCTTTTAATGCCATAATTCACAATCTTGAGCACCACGTGCCAGGTCTGCTTTAACCCCAATTAATTAGGTATCGACTTGGTTTTTTTTATTCAATTAAAGTATAATTAAATGGCAGTGGTCTATCTCTGAAAAACAGATGAAAAGGTTCTGGTAAGAATCCCTAGGTTAATCCAGCTGCTTAAAATGTGTGTTGTATTTGACCATTTGCCAAGAAAGTCTGTGAATACATGAGCCAGCTGGCATAGGGATGGCTGGTGGGAACCTGTCAGCTGATTAGGACCATAGTTGAGGCCTTTTCACAAACTCTGTTTTTAAAATACCTAAGAATGAGGCACTCGAACTTGGCAGGCTGGCAATTATGCTTGCAATGAAATCTTAAGATTTTTTTCCTCTTAAAATATGATTCTTGAATCATATTCCCTGAACCACTGAACCAAGCAGCTTATTTAGATTCATTTTAAATACCTAGCTAGGAGAAACGACATATCAAAGCCATATTTTGGCAACTATGGAGCCCGGCGATTCTGACCAATACTGCAAATCAGAAGAAAGAAAATATTTGAATGTACTGTATGTAGTAGCCTCACCACGCACAGCTTGAAGAGTCAGATGTCATAACTTAGGGCCTGATCTTCAGAGGAGCTGTGCACCCACAACTCCAGTTGACTTTAGTGGGAGCTGCAAGCGCACTGCTTGCCTAAGGCCAGATGCTGCTCACGTTGGTGAGCAGCTATTCACATGAATACTGCCGTTGACTTCAATGGGATTACTCGCATGAGTAAACACTCACCAGGGCAAGTAAGGGATTTGTGATCTGGCCCCTAATGTATCATTTTCATTGTAGCATTTAAGACAAAGAAACTTTGAAGTTCACCAACAATACTGGCATTCTAAATAATCTTTTCTTCCCTCATTTTCACTATTAAATGTCATGTATTTATTATGCAGAGGAGCAATTGCTTAGGCAGATAGCCACTATCATTGGCTATTTAAATGCTGGGTCGTGTGTGGTGTGCGTGTGTACAACTGTGTGTCTGCATGCCAGGTGTCAATATGAAATTTGCCATGCTAACAAGAGCCTTGCAACAGACTGTTACTTTGATTTTTTCCACCTGGTGCTTGCTGCAGCAACATGTCTGACTCGCCATGTGAGTTATCTGAGAAGCTGTCAAAAGAAAGGGAAGATTTGGGAAGTTTTCAAAAACCTGGCTGAGCCTGCCTTCTCAATAGTAACACTTTATGACACTTTTATTTTCAATCCCAAATCTCCATTGCTTGATTTTCTTTCCACTGAGAGAAGTTAGTTAGCAACAAAAGCCTTTCAGGCCCCAAAATGTTGCCAGTCGCATTTTCTACAAGGTTTTCTTTTTGCTCAACCCGAGGTTTCTCCTCAGCTTCCAGTCTCTTCTTTTCTCCACAGATAAGCAATGACCTTGCTATTTGTGCAAGGAAAGATAAATATTATCTATTTAAGCACCTGGAAGACAAGATAAAGTATATCTTCTTAATCCATTTCTAAAAGGTTAAGATGGGTATCTAAAGTCGCTTCATATTCACTGATTTACTCAGCTGTGGGCCAGTTCATATTTTCAGAAAACAGGGAAATGATATCTACAACATGGAAATACTAGAAAGAAAATAAAACTACATTAAAAATATTATTAAGATTGCAAAGTTCACCACTAGAAAGTTAGGAAATGCCAGAATTAAGGTTGCCCCTAAAGAATTTGCAATTTCATCTATGACAAGACACAACAGAAGGTGAAATAGAGGGCCAGGTGGAAGGAGAACAAAGGTAATAGTAACATATGGTTACACAGACTAGTGAGGTGGACAATTGGCAGATTTTGATCTAACTTTTAAAATATTAATTACTATCAGTAATTCTTAAATCAGATTCCCAAAGCCTCAGTTTACCCAGAGAAACAGGTAAGTAATGACAGCTCCAGCTCCCTTTCACACCACCAGGGTGGCACAGCACCTCCCAGACAGGCCACTGTTACTAGCAGTGAGAAAATACAATAGTGCAATCACCATGCTCATTTGGGCTTTGGCCTTTCTGCTGACACTGACCTTAAGGATGACGATTAGTGCTTGTTTTGAGGGTGTCTCTTTTGATGTGGATTCTTGGATTGAGACCACCAACTTATTTCAGGTAGGCCACTGCCATGAAAGCTATTTATATTGTGGTTAAGGAAAGACATTTCTTTTACCAAAAGTCTCAGAAGTTCAATGAAACCCTCCTCATTTAAACAATAGTCGGAAATTTGACCTTACAAAGACAGCCTCGATAGGAAAATTTTCAGAGTCATGGTAGTAATGAACAGTCATTAATTTAAAACGAAACACATTGTTTCTTTTACTCAGTGATAGGTAATGAAATAATGAAAGGAACCCACAAGCTTTCAAATTGCAACATTAGCTGGATTTCCAGTGTAGCAAGATCAAAGAAAGGGGATTTGTGAGTTATAGTCAGAAAGTATCAGACATGGAAACTCACCACCAAGCTAGCGGAACATAATCAATCCCCCACCCTCTTTAGCCTCCTCCCATCTTCCCTCCACTACATGTACACCCTCTGTATTTACCATATCCTGCTCTTTGTTCTGTGTTCTGGGCCATTAGATATGGTAAACCACATGCAGCCCTGCATTGCTTTTGCACTTCCAGGAATTATTGTTTGTCCTTCATTTGAGCAATAAGAAACAATAGGCAGTGAGTTTCTGTGAAATTTAGCGCACCTCAGTCATGTAGTATTTTCAGGCATAACCTGAAATCTGAGTTATCTGAACGATCTAAGGGTAATGAACAGCTTGAGATATGCAGCCTGGATTGTGTTCTGAATTACAGTTTACACATAATGGCCTACATTTTAAAAAGTGACCTGTGATTTTGGGCACTCAGTGTGAAATGCCTGAAAGGGGCATTATTTTCAGAAAGTGCTGAGTGCCTATCCTCTGAAAATCAGGCCCACCTAAATTGTCTCAAGTCAATCATCTAAAAATTGAAGCATCCCAAATCACTTGTTATTTGAAAATCTAACCCAATAATGGTAATGTCTTCTGCTGGTATGGTGGCTTCTATCCATCATCTCAAACTGCTTCATGAATGTTCAGTTGCCAAGCAGCAAAATGGAAGTTCTGGTTGCACCCACCGCACCAGGCCGTGAACATTAAAGTTGTGTCTTACCTTGATTTATCTTTCTTGCCATATCTCTTAGTTACTCTTCTTGTTTTCTTATTCTCTTCTTCCATCTTCAGTTAATTTTCTCTTTGTTTTCCTTTCTATCTAATTTTCTACCCTGGATCCTCACCCCACCTTGATGAATAACCTTGTGGGCAGGTTATGTTAAAACTGCTGCCTGCAGGTGTTCTTCACCTTCCTTTGAAGCACCTGTTACTGGCTACAGTGGGAGACAGGATGCTGACCCAAGTGAAGTACCAGACTCCCTGTAGTGCTCCTGCATCTGACACCTCCTGCTCCTGGCACCAACTTTGCCATGCAGTCTATGCCAGAGGCAGCAAAAAAGGCAGCATGAGGCCACATATGTCAGCCCTACACTTCTCCTGCTCTGGGGAGTTCTCCTTCAGTCAGCTGCAGTACATCAACAGCCCATGTACAATGCTGGAGTGACGTACAGGGCATGGGGGCCAGAACTGGCTGCACCGTTTCCCTCCTGTTACTATTATCGTTATTATCTCATTCTCAAGTGAATGGAGAAGATAAAAGAGCTGTGCCAATGGCTAAATGAATCCTATGTCAAGAAGATCCACTCTTAGCTTGATCAATGTAAAACCTACGTTCACTGTGTCAGCTAAATTCAGCCCAGCTTAATTTATGCACAGGAGACAAATCAGATCTACATTTCCCACACCGGAGCACAATTTGGGTCCAATGTGGCTAAGGTTTTAACGGGTTCAACTTGCTGATGAGGAAGCAAGCATCGTTTGACAAGCACAGATCAGCTGGACCTCTTCCAGAACATCATCTCGGAGAAGCAGTACAAGTCAAACTGAATGGACAGAAAGCTCGGGCAACTGGAGAAGTGTTGCAGAAAAGTGTTTTGTTGAGCTTGGACTTGGAAGAGCCTGTCAAAGGCACTGCATGGAGAAACTGGAGACATGAGATTCATTTAGCAAGGGGATGATGAGCATTTTTGGTGTCTGACCAAGGAGCAACTATTTATTCTGCGAAAGAGACAAAGACAGAGTCTGTTGTTCCAATATCAGCATCCAGCATAGAGAAATAAAAGCACCCAGAGACTGTTCTTGTTTTTTTACTGTAATTAGTTTAAATTTCTAAACCAAAAGCCATTTTGAAAGAGAAAACCAGAATTTTTTGTTCAGAAAATGTTGAAATGAAACATTTCAGAAAATTTCAAAACTTTTCCTTCAAAAAAATTTGTCAAAACTGCTTCTTTCCCAGAAAAAGCTTCAACTTGTGATGAATTGGCATTTTCCAGTAAAAAGCATTTTGTTAAAAATTTCCCAACAAGCTCTAGACTTAAACTGTTTGTTAGGAATGTGTCCAATGTACACAGCTGTCAGCATTCTTCTGTCTCAGGCAATAGGTAAGGATGACTCATTTTCTCTAATTCTCTACTCTCCGAATATTGGAAGCATATTAAAAAAAATTCATCATGCTGCATTGTCTGCTGTAGCAGCAGCTCTCCTGGGAGTTCTGAGAACAGTGCAGATGGAGTGAAGGTAAGGGCTGGGGAAGCAAATGACATGTCTAGACCCAGATTTGCTTATAGCTGAAAATGGACTATCTCTGAAAGTCGTTGTGCTGTAACACTGCAGGCACAAGGGTGGCAAGTGCAATACGGTCTAACCAGCTCATTGCCACAACACTGTACTAATCCTCACAACATCCCTGTGAAGTGGGTAATTATTATTATTATTCTCAGCATAACTAATAAACACAGTTTAAAAAAAGAGTTAAGGTTGAAAGCATGTTTCACTGGAGTTTAGAAAATACCCAAATTCCCTATCATACAATTAATACAAAAATTCTACCACTTCAAAACACCCACCCACCTTTCCCTAGTCCTGTGACCATCCCTTCCATTCCCCCATAACTTCTCTGACCTGTCTCATTCCATATTCTGCCCTTCTAAACCACAGTTCTTTACTCTCTTCCCATGCCATCAGAAGCTCTATGTAGTCTTCATCCCTCACATACCCTGCCAGAGTCTTATCCTCCTCCATTCATCATCTGTTTTGTCCTATATAGGCTCTTGTACCACACTCATCACAGTAGTATCTGAACTCCTTCCAACAATGCATTAAGCAATGTGACCAACAACTGTCATGTTGTTTGCTCTCTCATGCTCTCCCAGGGGAGAAGTGTGTGCAGTAGAGTGTTTTGTTTTGGATTTTACACACATACGTGTTGCTATATGTTTATGTTAGAAAAGGCAAGGTCAATGAAATGTGCCTTGCTTTTGGAGGAGAAGGTGACAAGGTTTGCGATGGTTCCTGAGTTCATTTCACAGTCTCAAACTGTCCCCAAGAAAGCTCTGTCTCCTGTATTGACAAGCTTTGCCCATATTGTAGAACAGGGGCGGGTAAACTTTTTGGCCAGAGGGCCACATCGGGTTTCCAAAATTATATGGAGGGCCGGTTAGGGGAGGTTGTGTCTCCCCAAACAGCCATGCGTGGCCCAGCCCCTGCCTCCTATCGCCCCCCCCCCCCCCCGCCGCTTCTTGCCCCCTGACGGCTCCCGCGGGACTCCTGCCCCATCCCAACCCCACCCCTGTCCCCCGGGACTCCCACCCGATCCACCACCCCTTCTCCCTGTCCCCTGACCACCCCCGGAACCCCTGACCCTGACTGCCCCCTGCCACCCCATCCAACCCTCCCTCATTCCTGACTGCCCACCCAGGACCCCTGCCCCCATTCAACCCCCCCTGTTTCCCGCCCTCTGACCACCCCAACCCCTATCCACACCCCTGCCCCCGACAACCCCCTCGAACTTCCCTGGCCTCTGTCCAACCCCACTGCTCCCTGCCCCCTGGCCGCACTGCCTGGAGCACCAGTGGCTGGTGGCGCTACAACTGCGCTGGCCTGAGCACCGGGTTGTAGGGGTGCTCAGGCCAGGGGCACCCTTACAAAAGGTAGGAAAGGGGACAGGGGGAAAGGAAAGAGGAAAGGAAAGGGGAGACAGTGGGGTAAGGCCCGGGGGTGAGCCTCCCAGGCCAGGAGCTATGAGGCGGGGCAGGAGGGGCCTGTGGCCCGTAGTTTGCCCACCTCTGTTGTAGAGTATTGCCTTGTGCCAGAGGAGTAGAGTTGTTTACCGTGGTCTTCATCCCAGAACTTTAGATCATCTTTTAGATATCCTGGGACCAGGCCATGGAGGGCCTTGAAGATGAGGACCAAGACCTTGAATTTGATTTGATTATCTATGGGAAGCCAGAGGAGGGAGAAGAATACAGGTTTGATGTGCTCAGAGCGGCCAGTGTTTCTGAGGAGATGTGCTAGAGTGTTCTGTACCAGATGGAGCTTCCTAAGTGTGAAGGCTTCATGCCCAGGTACGTTGCATTGCTGTAGTTCAGTAGAGAAGTGACAAAGGAATGAATAACTGGATGTACATGTTGAAAAGGACAGCAGAGAGAACTGATCCTTGTGAGACTCCACAAGGGAGAGTACAGCTTCTCATCACTACTTGTTGGGTGCAGATGTGCGGGGTCATCACATTTGCTGCTGAAGAAATGCCTGGAGTCAGCAGAAGGTTAGTATATATTTATAAAGATTTACCTTATATATAACCTGCCCAAAGACACTAAAAGGCACTACTTCTTAACAAGGCCAACAAAACAAAAGAAATTCAGAGCTTGTGGGCCAAGTCACGAGGTATGACAAGCCAAAGAAAGTTAGGAAAATGTTCCAAAGTGAATGATGGAATGTTTTGAAACACCATGCATTTCAAATCCCTCTTCTCGATTTTACCAAACTTCCCAGAAAAAAAACAACAACCCATCGTAGAATGAGATGAGGCACATGAAACTTCAGAGGATAGGGCTCCTTTTTTGGGGGCAGTTGAAGGGGTAGGGCTGGAAATGTGACTTTGACGGAAAGCCGGCTTCATCTTCAGCTCTGGAGCAGCTACTGCAGCTCCATAAAACTGTAGGTTTGGCATCAAAAGCTAGTGGCAGAGAGCAACTAAATGGATCACCACATGGAATGACTAAGAAAACATGTGTTTTTATTTTTAAAGAGCAGCTGAGGTTGGGTCAGCTGGTTGTGATAAAGGAGGCTTCAGTGTTTCTAAACTGATATATAGGGAGGATTATAGGGTGCTCCAAAAGTCAATGGAAAAGCAATTCTGACATAACTGAGCACTTTCTACGTTCCTTTGGTATTTGTTGCAATAATATTTGTTACCGAGAATTTATTTGGTACAAAATGTTAGTGTTTTTAGCATGCTTCCATGGGTATTCAGCACTGTATAATTGATGTACTGGTTTTTCACACTGTAAACTACAATGCTTTTGAGTCTCAAGAGTAGCATGAAACAACAGCTCACTGGGGGCACATCAAGTTTTGTGCCGTCACAGTTATGTCTTCAGGATAACATGACTGTATTAATATATTATAGCATGGAGGGTTGTCAGAGTGAGTTCTAAAAGGAATGAAACCCATTATAACCAGGGTGTTCAAACTCTAATTTACAACCCAAATCCAGAGACCTTGAAGGTCTGTGAGATAACATGCAGGTTATGGACTATCATGGTATTCACAAGGGAAAAGTGCTTTCCTGCACTGTTGTAAATGGGGCTTTCTAATTCTATAGCTGGCCTAATATAACTGTATCCTGCTTCCCTTTGCTTCTGCTTGCTTTTTGACTCACCCTCTCATAACTCTCTTTCTCTCTCTTGCTGTCTTTCCTTTTTAAGTTTGTGATAGGAGAGAGCCAACGTCTTCAGAAACATTCTAAGCCCACTTTATAGAATAATAGCTTAGAAGTTGGAGAAGTGTATTGGGAGATAAAATTAATATATGCCAACTAAGTCCACTTAGGCATTTCAGACATTTTTGCTACTATTGCAACTTCTAAAACAACTGCATAAAAGTGTTTTCGAGCCTGCAATGGGAACCTAAGTCAGGCTCAGGCCCGCTGACAGCAATTCCGGGCCCCAGGGCAGAACAGTCAATGGTACCCCCTAGAAAGGGATGGCTGAGGTTTACGACACTACTTTTTATGCTATTGCTAACACATTAGAACCCACTAGGCGTAAGTTGTGGCGTTCTTGATCTAGTTAACTTTTTTTCCCAGTTACAGCACCAGTATTAAACAAATTGTGAGCCTAAATATAAGATGTAGAATTTGTTATTTTGAATTATCTATTTAAATTAAATAAATACATTATGGAATGAAATTCATTAATATATAAAACATTTAAAGAAGCACGATGTAAGAAAATACCTAAAGTATCCAGTAGGCTAATTAAACACCTACTCATGATTCATGTGTAATCTAAAGACAAGGAAAAAACTGATATACAAGATGTAAATAAATATGACCAACAAAGTTAAAATATACAACACAATACTTTTGCTGCTGGACATCAGCACCCAGAGCAATGAGGAGACGGCAGGCATGGTGGATCAATATGAAAACTGAAAGGTGGATAAGGAATTGGTTAAAAGGGAGACTACAGCGGGTCATACTGAAAGGTAAACTATCAGGCTGGAGGGAGGTTACCAGTGGAGTTCCTCAGGGATCGGTTTGGGGACCAATCTTATTTAATCTTTTTATTACTGACCTTGGCACAAAAAGTGGGAGTGTGCTAATAAAGTTTGCCTATGAAACAAAGCTGGGAGGTATTGCCAATTTAGAGAAGGACCGGGATATCATACAGGAGGATCTGGATGTAAACTGGAGTAATGGTAATAGGATGAAATTTAATAGTGAGAAGTGTAAGGTCATGCATTTAGGGATTAATAACAAGAATTTTAGCTATAAGCTGGGGACGCATCAATTAGAAATAACGGAGGAGGAGAAGGACCTTGGAGTATTGGTTGACCACAAGATGACTATGAGCCGCCAATGTGATATGGCCATGAAAAAACTAATGCGGTCTTGGGATGCATCAGGCGAGGTATTTCCAGTAGAGATAAGGAGGTATTAGTACCGTTATACAAGACAGTGGTGAGACCTCACCTGGAATACTGTGTGCAGTTCTGGTCTCCCATGTTTAAGAAGGATGAATTCAAACTGGAACAGGTACAGAGAAGGGCTGCTAGGATGATCCGAGGAATGGAAAACCTGTCTTATGAAAGGAGATTCAAGGAGCTTGGCTTGTTTAGCCAAGCTAAAAGCTTAACCAAAAGAAGGTTGAGGGGAGATATGATTGCTCTCTATAAATATATCAGAGGGATAAATACCGGAGAGGGAGAGGAATTATTTCAGTACCAATGTGGACACAAGAACAAATGGATATAAACTGGCCATCGGGAAGTTTAGACTTGAAATTAGACGAAGGTTTCTAACGATCAGAGGAGTGAAGTTTTGGAATAGCCTTCCAAGGGAAGCAGTGGGGGCAAAAGACCTATCTGGCTTCAAGAT